CTGAAGCCATCTCACGTGAGACAGGAATCACACGCTTCCATTTTGCAGATTCATCTGCATTAAACAGTGTGTTCGCCTAGCGTCTAGGCTGAGCATAACTGGGTTATCTAAGATTGCCAATCTGTTTCTCACATCCTTATTTAATCATATCCGTTACTAAGACGTTTAGATAGAACAACAAATGCTACCTAGAGTATTCAACTGTAGATGAGCCTGTCTGATGATAGCGTAACTACCAAGACATGCGAAAGCAGACATCCTCACAGCTAATTGTTTCAAGACAATCCCCGAGCGTTCATTTCGATAAGTAAACAGTGGCCTTCCATTACAAACGATCAACCTACTTGCACGATTTGTGGTTGGTAGTGAACACTAGATAATGCCGCTGCCGCTTTATGACGATCTGAACCAGGAGCTCCAAAAATGGCGAGCTAGAATCGTTTCCAACATCAGACAACGTACTCAGGCTGCATACCAAGCCAACTGACGTCCGATTCGAAAGTTCCCATTAATTTCTTCGGTGGTAAAGCAAGCCACAGGCTGATTCGGCATGATACTATTCTCAAGCGTGTCCTCTCGTTTGCGGGCTAACGTGCAAAACGGTACAGTCACCTCCGTTAGGACGGCTAGATTTCGTGGGCAGTTCAAGTGATGTTGGACAATGCCGCATCGCTAGGACATTAGACATGAACATGTTGATTTAAATGCTTTTCGAGATCAGAATGACATACGTGTTCCTTTAAATACATATCTTCCTCTGTCCGTTCACTCTTTTGGAGGGGAATTTTCGGCGCCTTCCTATTTTTACTGATATTCGATATAAATTGAAGCGAAGACGAAGCTCAGGGCAAACGACTGAGAAAACTTTCCTCTCTTGGCCCATTGTGAGGCCTTACTGTTAAACAAACAAAAAAGTGATTTTGGAACAAAGCCGCGCATATTGTGCATATTTAAAAGAAGGTCCCAAAACATTTTCGTGGGGACGTCTATACTTTTTGCCTAGTTACATTCACTGGACAAAGTGTTGAGATATCAGTTTTGTTTCCTTGCACTATTTATTAGGCCTGCTCAGTTCCCGCTTTAATGACCTATCAGATGTCTGCTGTAAAACATGCTGATGGGACAAGCCCTTTTTTGGAACCCGGAGCCCACATTTGGCTAATTACATATCCTCACGAAGAAACGAATCCTAGTGAAATGCAAACAAATGCTAAAGCTTTTTGGCTGGGTGACATGTAACTGTTGATTGGTTAATTCGCTTAATTTATTGAAATAATATTTGTGTAAGAAAGCCAGGAAACAGTTGTTTGTCTAAAAATCCTCAAAAATGTGGCTGATTCTGGTTTGACCATGGAGATTCTTCGCGCTGATGAGCCGCTTTTGGAAAGCGAAGTTTTAGAACAGATTACGCAAGGTATTTTTCATTGACGGGTTAATGCTTAAAAGGATTCTTAAAAGCAGCTGTTTGTTGGATGAAGATTTCCTTCCTTTTAAATAGTCACTGACACAAGCAAACTGGGCCTAGAAAGTTTAGGCAGTTCGTTCCAGCATAGTAGCTTCTTGGATGCATGTCAGTGCTTGGCTGGTGCATAGTTGAGGTACAATGGAGTTTGCCGTGGCACTGAAGTAAGTAATATTTCTCCTATAGGCTACATACAGATAGACGCAAATACTGCTTAGAAGTTCAGTTGCAGTTCAGCAAATACGCTAGTCTTACGAGCCTGGACGAAGCTGAGAGTTGCAAGTTTCGGTATGTCCTTTGCATCGATAGATTGCGAATAAATCAAACGTCTCAAAACGTATTCTTGCATGCCAACTTGGCGTAGGTCGGACTCAATGAAGTCACAAAGTAGACCCGCATGAATAGTCAGCTCGGCATTAAAGATGAAAGAAAAAAATCGCACACCAAAAGAGTATGGGCTACAATTCTTAAGTACTTTCTCATGATGATCCACAAACAGAGTAACGGATGATATGCTGCTCGCGAATTAAAATTATTCATCGTTTGCAACTTCCAAATGACAATCTGTTCGCCCTCCTTATCACCCGAGTACCACAACAATATTTCTACCACTAACAAGAAGTTCGAGCTTTTGATCACTGAAATGTCATGATAATCAGAAGCCTCCACTATTTAAGGGGAGATCTAAAACCAAGTGCCAATTAGTTGGAGACAAGTAGGAAACAAGATATAGCATACAACAACTAAAGCAGTCTTTGCATGGCAAGCTAGACACTCATGACTTCGCCTGAAGAGTTTAGACAACCAAGGAGAAGCGTCATCTAAGTGTAGATGCAACATGGACAGCTGGTTATGCACCGTGATTGAAGTCTATCTCCCCACTCCTATTATACTTTGCTACTCTAGCCAATAAACTTATACTTAGCGCTATTATTAACCACTTGTTTACTGTACGTCTGGTGTTTCAATAAGCACAGTGGATTGGATAGAATTAAGAAGCTAATTTACCAGAGTGAACATATCCCAATAATCACCACCAGGCGTATCCCCATAATCACCATCACAACGGACATGGACGAACAGTGACTTCAGTGCTCAAGTACTTCTGCAAACATTGGGGATGTGTACGGTTCTAGCGAACTAATAAGCTATATACTTTAAAACCTCAGTTGTGTTGATGAAACGTGTGACCAAAGGTACATTATGGGTGCTTTTGATGTCCTAAAGTCACAGTTGGTACATGTATTCCAGCTGACGCACATGGACTGCTCTTACACTACTTTGCTGCACAAACGGGCTCGGTTTGTTACCGTTACAGTCTATAGACTGTTGTGCATTCTCGTTGGCAATGTGATGAGCCGTATGAGTGCGAATTTTTGAGCCTAATTAATCTCAGATGATAAGGGTGTGGCATTTCTGATTACCCAGCTTTATCACTTCGGAATCCGGGTAGAATCGAACTTACTGTGGCGTTTATATTCAATGAAATATACACTAATTGTTTCATATTGATAACGTCTTCCTATATGAGAAAATGTGGGCAATTAGTCTACTCGCCTGCCAAACTAATTAGAAGCGGAACGGGCGTTTACGATGCATTTGGATTCGTAAAACACATTCAGACATAAAATAAAATGCCTGAAAAAAGGTGACTTTAGTGTCCATCTCATATGACTTTTGGAATTTCGCTTTTTAAAGAGCCAAATTTTTCATGCTGAATCAGGTGCAGTACTTAGGATATGTATGTATGTATGTATGTATGTATGTATGTATGTATGTATGTATGTATGTATGTATGTATGTATGTATGTATGTATGTATGTATGTATGTATGTATGTATGTATGTATGTATGTATGTATGTATGTATGTATGTATGTATGTATGTATGTATGTATGTATGTATGTATGTATGTATGTATGTATGTATGTATGTATGTATGTATGTATGTATGTATGTATGTTGTATGGTATGTATGTATGTATGTATGTATGTATGTATGTATGTATGTATGTATGTATGTATGTATGTATGTATGTATGTATGTATGCATGTATGCATGTATGTATGTAGGTATGTGTGTGCGTATGTAATACATGCTAGATTCATCCCCCGCAGCAGATTTAGTAAACGGTTTGCATCAGCTGACGTACTGGATATGTTTGCAAACTTCTTACTTCAGAACGATACATCAGTGTGTAACGGACTCGTCGTCTCAGTAGTTTATTCTTACTCTTGATTCTCATGCAACATTCAACCCTTAGCGCTGCGTCAAAACATACTCTTTACCCTTTCAGCAGTCAACTGTTCTGGGTCTATGCTAGTTCCAGTGTGAGATTGTTGTCACCCTTTCATAAGCTAGGCATATCAGAGGCTTTGATCATTTTGCATAAAACGGAAATGATTAGACATAATCTTTGGGTAACTGGAAACGAGACTGAATGGATGCGGTATATTCCTTCGTTTACAACTTGCCCGATGTCCAAACGAATCCGCAGCCCTTAATTTAAAAGGAAACACATCTGGCAGGATGCTGTGATTCGGGCAGAAGAGACACAAGCTGAGTAGCATTATACCTAGGAACCTTCACTTTAGGAATGGAGGCCTCTGGTATGAAAGAATTGGGCAACATCTGCAGTACGTTTTTGCATACTGTTCAAATTCTGATAGAGCACCGAAATATTTTCTACTTGAAACCTGATCTTACCACTTATTCTGTTGTGTAAGTTTCAAGCAACAATTCCTGACACGGTGTCAGCTGCCGTTCTATTCGTAAATGTGAAGATAAGAATAGAGCTTCTCCAATGTGGAGGAGCGAGAAAGAAAATATCGTAATAACAAGCAAAAGTTGACTTAAGCGTGAGAATAAAAGTGAGTATACATGACAGAATCACGCGTAGTTGGGTTGAAGTCAAATCCAGAACGTGGCATTCTACCGGCACAAATCAATCAACGTGTTCTTACTTTTGTGTATTCAGCTCATCTCATGTCCTCCGGAAACGAAGCACGGTTAAAGCGACGAGACTGCAGTGATTTGTCTTTCGGAGCAATTTTAGTATGGAAGTTGTTTGGGCTTTACAGGTGTCAGAAGATAAAAACGCATTGCACTTATCACAAGCATCTCCTAAACTTCCAGCAGAACCTTAGACGGGGAATTTTAACATTACCTCGTTAGGCGTCAAGCTGCGCATCCAATTTTTAGTTTTCTCTTCCTGATGTTTATATTCCGAGGTACCTGAAAAGATCATGCACAGTTTTCATGTGTACATAAGTACATATTTTCTGCGAGTCATCAGTACTGTGGTTTTAATGGGATCGCGTAATAATTGCATACCCAACATTTAGACAGATCAGCTTATGCCACAAAATCCAGTAGTGATCAGTTCCTTGAGTGATGATTTCGCAGACAGGGTCTGTACATCTAGAGAAACGATTATATTGATTTGTATTTGGCGTAATTATGTTGACCAGACGCTTTACTAAATGAGAAAATCGTCACTATTGATGGAAAAAATTTATTTTCTTTTGTTACGGACAGATCGGAATTTGTGGTGTCGGATCGATCCGGCATTGGAAGCAATCGGACACCTAATAATTTGCTCAACGGACATAACCCCAGCGCGTCGGGTGCGAGTAGTAATCCGATACTTGAGCGAACCTCCTCTAGTCCCGTGGTGAACATGGTATCAACAGTTCGCCAAGAAGGCAGAGCGGTAAGTCTCAGTTGACTCCACATTTGTTTGTTTCGGAAAACCAACAATAAAATTAAGTGACAATAAATCGGTAGAAGGTACAAAATCTCATAGGATATTTGCATATGTCGTACACCCTTATCGACTCCAATTCCCGGTACGTCATTGAGGTCGATCAAAAGCTGACAGATCAAAACCCATTGCAAACCATCTAACCTCAAAATAAATTTGTTCCGAATAAATCAGGTTGATTTGACAGCGGATGAACAGAGGAAATTTTCGTAGCCGGCCAAAAGATGTCACATGGCAAGCAACTGGTCTAAATAGATGTCTTCTCACCGAAGGCAATCAGGTTCAGTTCAGGCTGACGTGGCTTTTTTGAATGATAAGTTTGGGTGAAGACTTTACGGTACGATCAACGGTTTTGCTGTATTATTTTCTCTGTTTCTAGTAAGGCAAATTACTCAGGACCCATTACTAGTTCTGCTTTGTTAGTGTGGGATTGTCCAATTCGTTGATTCAGAACAATTACGAAAACATATGAAAGTAAATTTCGAATAGGTGGCCAGACCAGTCTCACATCCAAAACTCTTGAAAAGTTACCAACATTTGACCTGTGGGTTTCATAAGGTTTTTGTGGCCCGGTCAGAGAGATAGGAACAACTCTGATTTGTCGTTGGAAACGGCTGCAACATATATTGTAATTTTCCGGATTGCCGAATTCTTACAAAGAGTCAAAATATTTAGAATCCGGACATATTACTCACAAACTTATTACTAGGTTCCAGATTTGGAAGCTGAATCACCTGCTGTTCATCCCGCTGTATTTTATTCGAGGTAGCTTCCGGCTCAAGTTGTTGATCGTATCCCACTAGAGAGAGACATGTGTCTAAAAAAATCCAATGGTCATTCTGCGACATCGCACGTGCGCAGCGCAACAAAACGTAAATTCCATCAATGAATTTGTCCTGATGCCTCTATTTATACCACAAATAAGTACTCCAGCGCAACATTTTTAAAGAGTGATTTCTTTACAAATCAATTTATGTGGTTTGGATATCCATTCGAATAACGGTGAGGGTGACAGCATGCAAATCGCTCGTGTATTTTAAAATCCGGCCAAAATGTTATATGGATTGGACGTATCCTCAGTTATCGGCAAGGTGGCCAATGCGTGAGTGGTTGAGGGACATTAGCGTGTACGATGGTTGTGACACAACGGTGAGAGTGTAACCCGAAAATGTAAACTGGATAGCGTATAATTTTTTTCGGCAACTAATAGGACGTGGATTCCGGAGGGGTCGACTGAATGGTTCAGTATAGATGGTGAACCTAGATCCGTGGGCTTTATTTACCCGTTAGCTCAGTGTTGATGTTTCAGTGATTAAAATGAGGTAAAGTCTGAGTAAACTGCAACACCAACGAGTAGGTTAATCAGTTTTGGCGCTGATTAAGTCGCCATTCATGTTTGAACTTAGTCTCAGGAGAAGCGGGCCTTTTACAAGTTACAGAAGTATTCCCCCCTCTTCTGCAAACACCAGGGACCACAAGAAAATTGGATCTCAAAGGAATCTCGTATGCAGGGGTATCACCTTGAACGTCCCACAGAAATTATTAGACTGAGATTATTTCGAACTTTACGACTCGGCAATAACAACATTCTGAGGCATCAGAATATTAAGTTAGAGTCCAGAGTAAACATCCAAACTTTCAACTCTTGGCGAACGCTTTTGGCCAAAAATCACCAGACAACCGTTAAGTCTAAGGCTGGTAGCCTTATTGAAAAACAACATTCATCTCCCAAAAACGAACCCTTTGAGGTTCATAACTCGAAAAGGGCCCTTAATATTATCATTTATAGTTTCGCTTTCTTTTCGGTTGTGCTCCCAGAAACTCCTAGACAGAGTCTTTATCAAGCCCTGACTTGTCCTTGAGTTAGTACGCTTGACTTTGTCAAACAAAATGGTCTGGGTTGCAGAAAAAGCGACAGTTCGCTAGTGCTTTATTTTAAGTGGCCATGAGACAAACGGATGACGACAGAATGGTATGCTCGGGCTTTGTTTTATCCCATTTGGATCGTACAAGCAGACACAATTTCTCTTCCAGCCAATAACGAGGATGTAGAAATTCAAAACCGCAACGTCAGTCAGGACATACTTCAACTCTTAGCGTATTTTTTCGAATGCACAGTTCACTTTTACGGTGACAGACCCGAACCATGGACCCTTCGCTGACAGTACGAATCCTCCGAGAGTCCTGAGAGACGAGACATCTTATTTCAGACTCTTTTTACTGCGATCTTTTCGAAGCCTTATGTTGATTTTAACGGATAAACCCCAAACGGTGCACGCCTGTCAGGGGACTGCGGTGACGCATTCTTAAGTTGCACACATTCGCAGATGTATGCCTTGAAACCCATACAACTTGCAGTGAGGGATTGCGAGATATGGGGTTTCGCGAACCGACTCATCAGTGTGGAGGATAGCTCCCAGTGTCTAATAAGTGGCCGTAAAATATAAAACAGTAAAATTTCACTGTTCTGGTTATTGAACAGTTAACACGCTGGCCATTTCAGTTTGAAACAGGAGTTTTAAACACAGCCATACGCGAAAGATTGCACAACAATATGATTTGGAACAAAGGAATAAAGTTGATCCTAGTTTGCTTTCTTTGGGGAATACATTTTATTGGTCAGGTAACTGCCAAAATTTTACCATTAGGGTCCTTGCAATTGTCTAATCACCCAACACATCATACATCCAGTTCGGAAAAACCATCCATACACAAAGTTGATCGACAAACCCGAAATAATCCTTCATATTGTTATTCTGTCAGCATAAATGTACCAATCAAAATGTTGAGGGTGCCTAAAAATGTTTAACAATTATTCCACTATCCGGTGTAGGCAACGTAGGTATCTCATTCCAGATAACTTTCTTCAAACATCTCTTCTCAGCTGCCTTCGGGTCCCGATGATTCACTGGCTTCACAGGAGTTTTGAGTACTTAAACTCTGACCAATTTTAGGTGGCTTTGGGGTTAATGGATTGAAATTCCCATCATTCTCGTTTGAGTAGTTCTCCTATGTCCTGGTGCAGTTATTCCCGTGAGTTCATACCAAAGTAGGGGAGGCTCGAGTTTTGCTTTGATTTGACTTCATTAGCACTTCACATCCTTTGGCCGTGCAGAGATCCGAACTTTGGACATTTGAAATACGGGACGAGCGTCTTACCAACACTACCAGCGCAAGCTGAATTGCCACATGTGAATGTGCAAACATGTTCGATGTGATTTGTTTACTTGAAGCTTCAAACGATGACCTGGTCAGTCGAACAATACATCTATTAGGAATCCGCACTCAGGTAGCACTAAATGCACGACAAATCTTCTGGGCAATTTTCGATTAGTTGAAGGTAGTTGCGGGATTACTGGGGAGCAAATCGAATCCAGTGATTCCTCTGTTTGATGTGAATGTACCTGATTGATTGTTTCGAGACAGGAGGACTGTTCAAACAAGAGTGATGCGAATTGGATTTCTGATTTATTCTAAGTGGTGCTTGTTTGTAGATCCAACTAACAAGGTAACTATGTCTATAGGATGTACAGGAGAGCATTTAACAAACCATCGCTGAACGAAAGCTCCCTCTTAAACCAACACACCTATTTGTTTTCATTTCATCTTACTACGCTTTATTTCCAAAACTTCTTCTGATAAGCAACCACTTCGGTATACTTATGAACAGAGGCCAGTGAAATTTTTATTGTCTGGTTACTTAAGGTCAACAAGTCTAGAGCAAAATATGGTTAAAAATGGCTAATAAAAAACTTCAGCTTTCTTGACGTGTACACACGCCCCCTGCAATCGGAGAGCAAAACAGTAGTGCGCCTTGGGTGTGAAAAAAAAACATCTGTTCCCTGGCAAAATTCTTCGAAAAAGCAAATTTCCTAGTACTGGTAGAGTGTAAAACTTAACAAGGTTCCCGAAAAATTTACGGCTTTCCTTTCGTAGGATTCAGATAAAGCTATAAGGCCACAAAATATTGGAGATTTTACCACAAAGTTTCTTTGGAAAGATCGAGTAATGTGGTCTTTTTTGAATTTTTGAAAGATTAGTAGTAGCGGTCATCTTATTTGGTGACGATGCAGTTTGTCATCATGAAGAAATAGCGTCTTACCGAGCTGAAGCTCGCGATACAACTTAAAAGACCCTGTTATTCGTAGGTATGAACCGGACTATAACACCGTCAATGCAAAGCTCAGCTCTGCTTGTTAGGTATGGTCGCCACAATATCTTCGTGCATTTTAATTAATACAACGTTCTCTGACAGATATGCCTTTCTCTGGTAGAATGCTCGGTTCCCTACCAAAAGGCTGTATAATTTCGCGTACCTGGCTTGCAGCCCATACATACTCTCGTTGATATATCGGTCCCACAAGTGTCCAGAGTAACGGAGTGTAAACATTTCGTTGTATCTGAACCATTTATTTGAGAATTGCCCAATTTTATTCCGCAAATCAGATAAAGGGAAAGTTTACTGGGCAAGACAATGCTCCAATGCTCGAGCACAGAAAAAAGGGATGTGACCACAATTTTATTGAAAGTTTACCCAAGTGAAAAAGATTATTTTTCAAGGCTGTAGACCCACGGTTTGATTTCTGCCTCCCGTAATTTCTGCTATTCAGTTGGATGGAGAAATGTCCAACCCCCGCTGTCCACGAGACGGCGTCTTCTGATTGGTTGTCAGTAACTGGTGCAGCTAACAAATCTTTCTCGATAAGCTTTAACTGCCTCCGCTGAGCTGTGAACTGCGGACTGGCTTTACATCTATTGTATGAGATTATCTGTGTTGAAGGGTAACCTGTGCCTTAGGACAACAGGAACTAATGCAAGTTTTTGGTTAACATCAGGTCGGCTATTTCCTAAAGTCGAAATATAGAATGAATCATCTTCGGAATCTCTGCTTTTATACAAAGAGAAATTCGTAACCCTTCTCGTTTGTTTGTCCTCAAGTTATTCGTTGA